ATTGTATATACTGTAGTATTTAATGAAATGAGAAATGAATAAGTAAAAAAAAAAAGACCAGAGTCCATAAAGTCCAGTGTCCATGTGGACACAAAAGGACCCACACAATATATCCAGATGTCTTCCTCTGTTAGACTTTAGGTGATTCAGTTTCAGAGCTGCACTTCAACAGAGACAGGGTGGTCCAGATAGGACAGAGAGGGGGACGGGGGACTCCAGTCCTGGACCCAACGAGCCGATGATGAGTGGGCGTGGAGCTAAAGACTGATAAAGATCTCAGTGGACCAGAAGGTCCTGAGAGACCCATAACAAGAAGTCAACAGGTCCCAGAGGAGCCGAGGGGCGGGTTTCAATTAACCAGAGGGGTCCTGTGATCCTGGACCGTCTCCAGTTCCCACCTTCGRCTCCGTCTGTGGACAGGTCTGGACCTGAACTTCAGACTAATGTCCAGCGTCATGTTTGGACAGAACCAGCAGGACAAGAGGTGCAGGCTGATGGTCTGAGGACTGGACCACTCCTCTGGAGACCAAAGGCTAGAGTCTGGACCAAACTAGGTCCAACAGAACCACGATCCCAAACACAGCAACTGATCTACAGCAGAGCGGGTCAAAACCTACAAGAGTCCAGAGTCCAGAACCTGGACCTGACTGAAACTCAGAGTTGGACCTTCAGAGACCTGAACAGAACCTCACTGAACCTAAAAACTGCAACAACGAGTGGACCACAAGTTCTCCACAACCACCTGAGTCCGAAACCAGAACCAGTGAGAGTCCAGCTGCTAGGCCAGCTAAAACCAGCTAAAACCAGCTAAAAGCTAAAGAATAAAAAAAACTAGCTAGATGATAAAAGTAACACAAATGAGGCTAACGTAGAAAACAGTAGCTAAAGTAGCAAATAGGTAGCTAAAAGCTATAAATAGCAAAATAGTAAGTAAACAACAGGCTAAAAGTAGCAAAAATAGCTAAAAGTCTTGCAAAAAGCTAAAAGCAGTAAGAGGATAAAAGCAGAGCCAGCAGCTGAAGCAGAAAAGAAACAGTTTTTTATTCTGTGGTGAAAATATTTGTAAATAAAGTTTCATATTTTGAATATAAAATTTACAAAAACCAAAAGACACGTTAGTGTCTCCTGAATGAGCCGAACCTTTGACACAAAGTGGCTAAAGAAGAACAAACAGAAGCTGCAGAACCTCTGAATGTTTCTGATGAACCGGATCAGATAAACACAGGAGGAACTGAAGGAGGTCCAGGATCACACAGACCTGGTCAGTCCCGGTCCAGGATCACACAGACCTGGTCAGTCCCGGTCCAGGATCACACAGACCTGGTTAGCTCTGGTCCAGGATCACACAGACCTGGTCAGTCCCGGTCCAGGATCACACAGACCTGGTCAGTCCCGGTCCAGGATCACACAGACCTCGTTAGCTCTGGTCCAGGATCACACAGACCTGGTCAGTCCCGGTCCAGGATCACACAGACCTGGACATTCCCGGTCCAGGGTCACAC